GTTGAGTTGGCTGGTCCTCCAAGCCGGTCATAGCTCAACCTATTGGGGGGCTGAGTCTTCCTTCTCCCCCTTCCTTCCTCCTCTGCTGCAGGGACTTGGATGCTCTCATGGCGTTGCTGCAAATCTGGTCGGTTCCCGCGAGCACTTGTAGCACTAGGCGGAAGTGACGGTGCACGCTCATCACCTTGCTGCACCTCCTCCTCCTCTTCTCCCCCATTCATTTGAGGAGATTGCCTTGTGATAGTGCTGCTGCTACTCAGCTCCAAGGGCAGCTCCACATGCTCCAAGCCGGTCCTCTTCACCTCTCCAAGCCGCACACCAATCTTCGCTTGGTTCTCCGCCTTCCACTCCTTGAACGGTAAGTTCTCCATGAACTTGCAATCTCTGCTCACCAGGAACTTCTTAGTAAATGGGTCCCATAGAAGCCATCCCTTGCTGTTTTGGGCCATGCCCAGGTGCACGGCCCATGTTGCCTTGGCATCAAGCTTGTTGTGCCGAAGTTTCTTAGGCACAAGTGCCATGCACATGCACCCGAACACCCGAAGCATATCCACCTTCGGCTTCCTTCCAATCCACTCCACATAGGGCACCCATTTGGCTTCTCCCACATGAGTCAAGGCTCTGTTCTTGGCCACACAAGCATGTCGCACCGCATCCGGCCAAAAGTAATTGGGAAGACAGGCTTCAATGAGAAGTCCCCGAGCCGTCTCCGTGAGTGTCCGATTCGCACGCTCGGCGATGCCGTTCATTGCAGGAGAGTAGGGCATGGTAAGAGAGTGCCTTATGCCCTGCTTCTTCAGCCAAGTTGAGAAATCCTTGCTCAGGAACTCTCCCCCACGGTCAGTGCGAATTGCCTTCACAAGCCGGTCTTGTTGCCGCTCCACCATCGGCAACCAATCGGTCTTCACCGTTTCAGCTACGTCACTCTTCTTGGGCAGCACATACACCCAGGTCATGCGAGTGTAGACATCCACAATGGTGAGGAAGTACTCTGCTCCAGCAGCTCCAAGCTTCAAGTGGCCCACCACATCCATTCCCTACCACGCCGATTCCAGCAGCACCAGTTCAAGCAGCAAGTGTGGCATCGTTGGCGCATAGTGCCACCTGCATGGGTCCCAGCACGTCCAAGCAGATGCTCGGTGCCCGGTGCTAGATAAGGAGAGGAGGATGGTGAGCCAGAGAATGATGATGACAGTATCTGTGGTTTTAGCTTTGATGACGAAGGAAATTTTTAATCTGATGTATCCGAACTGTAATGGACGATGTGGTATTCTGCCATACCGTGTGTGTTTCATGACAATTGTGGTGTTGTTAGTTGGATTGGAACATAAAAGCTGCTCTATGAAAAGTACCCTGACACCTCAGGGTATTGCGTTGACGTTGCCCTGTGTAAACAGGGTGTGCATAGCGCTCAAACCCTGAGAGGTGCACGCTTTTCAGAGGGTGAACCCTGAGGGCTCAGGGTGCCTAAATTTGAATCTGAGGGCCTGGTGGGAGCAATCAGAGAAGAGAAATGAGAATGAGACTACCAGGTCCATCGGACCTGCGAGAATGTGAAGGAGCTTGTCTCCTTTACAGCAAAACTCCTCTTCAAATCGAATCACAATCTGTAATTTTTTGTTCCTAAAAAATTATTCATATTGTGACACGACTTTCAGAGGAGTGTACAGTGCAGTCATCATAGGTCAAACGAGACATCAGGGAGGGGGTCGGCGGTGGTGACGCTCAAGTGTGGCTGCATATCGAGCAGTCGAACTGGAGCGGAGAGGGTCCTGAAAGGTGCGTGAGGCAGCGATAAGCTCGCGATCGAGCTGGGTGACATAACGCTCCTTAGCTGTGTCGCTTCGCTCGGCTTTGCTTGGCTTCGCTTGGCATCGCTTGGCTTTGCTTGGCTTCGCTTGCCTTCGCTTGGCTTGGCTTCGCTTAGCTTCGCTTGGATTCGCTTTGCTTGGCTTTGCTTGGCTTCACCTGGCTTCGCATGGCTTCGCTTGGCTTGGATTCGCTTCGCTTGGCTTCGCCTGGCTTCGCTTGGCTTTGCTTCGCTTTGCTTGGCTTCGATTCGCTTGGCTTCCCTTGGCTTCGCTTGGCTTTGCTTCGCTTCGCTTGGCTTCGCCTGGCTTCGCTTGGCTTTGCTTCGCTTTGCTTCGCTTCGCTTGGCTTCGCTTGGCTTCGCTTCGCTTGGCTTCGCTTCGCTTGGCATCGCTTGGCTTCGCTTCACTTCGCTTGGCTTCGCTTCTCTTTGCTTGGCTTCGCTTGGCATCGCTTGGCTACGCTTGGCTTTGCTTGGCTTCCCATGGCTTCGCTTGGCTTCGCTTGGATTTGCTTGGCTTCGCTTGGCTTTGCTTTGCTTCGCTTGGCTTTGCTTGGCTTTGCTTGGATTCGCTTGGCTTCGCTTCACTTTGCTTCGCTTGGCTTCGCTTGGCTTCGCTTCGCTTGGCTTCGCTTGGCTGCCCTTGGCTTTCTTGGCTTCCCTGGGCTTTGCTTGGCTTCGCTTCGCTTTGCTTGGCTTCGCTTCGCTTGGCTTCACTTGGTTTCAGTTCGCTTAGCTTCGCTTGTCATCGCTTGGCTTCGCTTGGCTTTGCTTGGCTTCGCTTGGCTTCGCTTCGCTTCGCGTCGCTTTGCTTGGCTTCGCTTAGCTTCGCTTCGTTTTGCTTGGCTTTGCTTCGCTTTGATTGGCTTCGCTTGGCATCGCTTGGCTTAGCTTCGCTTGGCTTGGCTTGGCTTTGCTTCGCTTGGCTTTGCTTAGCTTCGCTTGGCTACGCTTGGCATCGCTTGGCTTCCCATGGATTCGCTTGGCATTGCTTGGCTTCGCTTGGCTTTGCTTGGCTTCGCTTTGCTTCGCTTGGCTTCGCTGAGCTTTGCTTGGATTCGCATGGCTTCGCTTCACTTCGCTTTGCTTGGCATCGCTTGCCTTCGCCTTGCTTGGCTTCACCTGGCTTCGCTTGGCTTCGCTTGGCTTGGCTTGGCTTCCCTGGGCTTTGCTTGGCTTGGCTTCGCTTTGCTTCGCTTTGCTTTGCTTCGCTTTGCTTTGCTTTGCTTCGCTTCGCTTTGCTTCGGTTCGCTTCGCTTCGCTTCACGTCGCTTCCCTTGGCTTGGCTTCACTTCACTTCGCTCGGCTTCGCTTCGCTTGGCTTCGCTTGGTTTCACTTCGCTTAGCTTCGCTTGGCTTCGCTTGGCTTTGCTTGGCTTTGCTTGGCTTCGCTTGGCTTTGCTTGGCTTTGCTTCGCTTCGCGTCGCTTCCCTTGGCTTCGCTTCGCTTCGCTTGGCTTCGCTTCGTTTCGCTTGGCTTTGCTTCACTTTGATTGGTTTGGCTTGGCTTCGCTTGGCTTAGCATGGCTTCGCTTGGCTTAGCTTCGCTTGGCTTGGCTTCCCTTTGCTTCGCTTGGCTTTGCTTAGCTTCGCATGGCTACCCTTGGCATCGCTTGGCTTCCCATGGCTTCGCTTGGCATTGCTTGGCTTCGCTTGGCTTTGCTTGGCTTCGCTTGGCTTTGCTTGGCTTCGCTTCGCTTCGCCTGGCTTCACTTAGCTTTGCTTGGATTCGCATGGCTTCGCTTCGCTTGGCTTCGCTTTGCTTGGCTTCGCTTCGCTTCGCTTGGCTTCGCTTCGCTTCGCTTGGCTTCGCTTCGCTTCGCTTGGATTCGCTTCGCTTGGCTTTGCTTGGTTTCGCTTCGCTTGGCTTCGCTTCGCTTGGCTTTGCTTGGCTTCGCTTGGCTTCGCTTGGCTTTGCTTGGTTTCGCTTCGCTTTGCTTGGCTTTGCTTGGCTTCTCTTGGCTTTGCTTTACTTCGCTTGGCTTCGTTTCGTTTCGCTTGGCTTTGCTTCGCTTCGATTGGCTTCGCTTGGCTTTGCTTGGCTTCGCATGGCTTCGCTTGGCTTGGCTTTGCTTCGCTTGGCTTCGCTTCGCTTTGCTTTGCTTGGCTTTGCTTGGCTTCGCTTCCCTTTGCTTGGCTACGCTTGGCTTCGCTTGGCATCGTTTGGCTTCTCTTAGCTTCGCTTGGCTTCGCTTGGCTTGGCTTGGCTTGGTGTGAGAGTACGACACCGTTACACCACTTGGCCTTTTTTCATATTTCATCTTCATTTCATTCCTCTTTTTATCTCATCTCCTTTTGCCTCATATTCCCCATTTTCCATTATCCTTTGGTTTCTTCCCTTATTATAATTATATCACCGACCAAGCATGGAATGTTCTAGACACGCTATCTAGCGTAATCCTCTCGTAATCTCTTCAAGCCAATAGCCTCGCGTGGCTATACGCCGGGTGATTCTATTTTCTAGAAGGGTCTATTCCTTTAGATAAGATAAACCTGGTTACCTGATGTATTCTGGAAGTATAAAAGCGCCTTGTACCGATCGATAGTGCAACCTTTCCTCGACACATTCGATCCTGTGACACTTGGTAATCAGAGCTTTTCTCACTCGGCCGCGCTCAGCTAAGCAGCAGCAGCGGGGATCCTGCCTCGAAAAACCGCCGGGGGCGACCAATTCGACGCCGATTCTGGTAAGCACCAGCTCCTGTTGGTGCAACCCTATGGCTTGCACTCGGCTTGTCGTCCGTGTTTGTGTGTGTGCATGCATGGCATGGAATGACTTGTGAGTCTATGTCATTGCTATCTAGTGCTTGTGTGTGTGTTTGAATGGTGTCTCACAATGTGGTGTGTGTCGGTCAAGACATTAGTGAGTTTTTACAACTCGCATGTCAAGTCGTCGTTTGCGTGTCGCATGTGTTTTTCTATTTTGTCAAGTGTGAAGTGTCCATCGCGTCGCAGGTGTGTGCAGCAAGCCCCCATCAACTCAAGAAGAATTTATCTTGAAGAACCAAGACCAAGAGCTCAAGATTTCAAGCCCAAGGGACGCGGATAAATATTAAATAGTGAAAATAGTAACGCTACTTCGTGTAGTGTTACATTTCACTTGGTGTAGCCCCTTGGAGGGTTTGTTTTGAGACTCTTCGTGGTTGGGGACTCTGTGGTGGTGTACCACCAACCTGGACCTCGGCTCTTGGGGTATGTAGAGGCTGGGAACCATCTCCCTCTCGAATTCTTCTTCCTAAGTTTTTTGTACTCCTAAGACTAAAGTGGCTGCAGTACCTCCTGCCAGTCAAACCGCCATAGCGTCGTCAAATCTTCATGGAATTTTATGATTCAACTTGCTGCTCATAGGCGACAACAACGCGCTCCAGATCCAATTTACAGATCACCGTTTGAGGTACACTTCAGATCGGCATCAATATTTGAAGCTGGCTGACGGAACTCTGACTGTGCACATTTTCTCTCATTTTAGGCACATCTGAGCCTATTGTGATTATAACAAGTGGTATCAGAGCCCCTTGGAGCTGTCTCGACCATGCCTAGACCTGAGGAAGGGGGTGGCAGAGGTGCTGGAGGCAGAGAAGACGCCCAAGCACAAGGTCAACACCAAGATCCACCCATGGCTCCCGTGCAACCTAGCCTTGGCCCCTCTAGGGATGAGCCTAGAGTGTTTGGCCTTGACAAGTTCAACGGTGACAACTTTGCTGAGTGGTCCTTCAAGATGGAGAACATCTTTGACCACTATGATCTGCTGGAGGTGATGGAAGGAACGGAGAAGCGCCCCGAGAACGACCCGGAGAAGAGCCCGTGGGTGCGGAAGAGCGCACAAGGCTATCTTCTACTTGGGCAAGCATTGGGGAGCAGCCAAATCCGTCACATCAAGCCTTTTCAGCGTGAACCAGCAAAGGGACCAAAGGCATGGGCTGCTCTCAAGGGTGTACACGCTCCTGCAACAGCGGCGGTGGCTGTGGTTTTGGAGCGGCAAATGGCGGCCCTTCGAATTGACGAAGGCGAACCGGTGGAGGACGGAGTGCATAAATTCTTCGACTTGTTGACACGGCTTGAAGGAGCTGACCTGAACTACAGTGACCTTCAAAAGAAGACCAAGCTGCTGGCCTTGCTTCCGGACTCATGGTCCTCGCTCATCATCAACCTAAATCGAGATCTGCCCCGCCTCTCGCTCGAAGATGTGAAGCGGGAAATCTTACAAGAAGATTTCCGTCGTCGTGAATTGGCGGGTACCGATGGTGCCGGAGTTGCAAGCATGGGCCGTGGGCACGGCCGTGGAAGGGGCAGAGGGCGAGGAGGAAGATTTGGCAGCAGCAACTTCAATGGAGGCCGTGGTAATGGAGGATATGGCAGCAACAACAACAACAATGGCAACGGGCGTGGGCGCGGTCGATTTGATGGCGAATGCCACTTTTGCCACAAGACCGGCCACATGTGGAGAGATTGCTACAGATTGCCTGATGGATGGACCCCTTCTCAAGGCCAAGAGGGCAGAGGAGCAAGGGGAGGAAGAGGCAGAGGTCGTGGAGGCCGTGGTGGTCGTGGAAGTGAAGCGGCATGCATGAAAGGTGGAGACTACGAGACGGGCCCGAGTGAAGATCGATACCCGGGCCAATTCTTCTTTGTCTCCACGCAAGCGGTAGCTGCAGCAGGAGGTGTGGAAGGCTTTGAGGAGCCAGCTACTGTGGGAAAGGTCACCCTTCACTCTCTCGACTTTTGGGTGATCGATAGCGGCGCCACCTATAGCATGACACCTCGTGCGGACTTGCTCACCGAACTCGAACCGTCGCCGGTCAAGCATGTCACATCGGCTTTGGGGCAGCGAGCAGAGGTGAAAGGCATGGGCAAGGCCATGTTCAAGGGTGCTGATGGGAAGATGGTGGGCCTCATGAACGTGCTTTGGGTGCCCAACCTTGCAGCCAACCTGATTTCTGTGCGGCGTTTGCAAAAGGCCGGCATGGACACATCTTCCAAGGGATCCAAAACTTATACCGCGCGGCTTGGTGAGCGGAAGCTTTGGGACCTTCATGAGGACAGGGACATCTACAATGAAATGTGGCAAGTCCCAGTGGTCCCCATGCCTAAGGAGAGGCAAGTGGCAGCAAGCATCAGCACCAAGAGTGAAGCGGTTGGTGGCGGTGATCACGGAAAGCAAAGTGACACCAAGAGTGACTCGAACGAGTGCAATCTTGGAGAGACCAGCAAGGCATGTGAATCCAAGGAGAGTGGTGCAGCAGCCAAAGGTGGTGGAAATGAGGAGGAGAATTATAAGATCAGCAAAGCAGCAGCGGCGAAGGAGAAAGGAGAGAGCTTGTGGGGCACAATTGCGAGTGCCGCTTTCTCCAACCCGACCTCCGCTACGGGAGAGTGTGATTGGCTGACCTTGCATCGGCGAATGGGGCATGTGGCATTGCCCATTTTGCAGCAGATAGTCAAGCAAGACATGGTCAGTGGGATACGTGTCAAGGGGGAGCCCAATGAGGTGCTTGGCTGTCCAACATGCATGCAAGCCAAGTTCAGCCGCTACCCGTTCCATAGCTCGGAGACAACGGCGAAGGCACCACTTGATGAGGTGGTGATGGATGTGGTGGGCCCCTTGAAGCTTGGAGCTGCTGGAGCTGAGTACTTCCTCACCATTGTGGACGTCTACACTCGCATGACTTGGGTATATGTGCTGCCCAAGAAGAGTGACATAGCTGAAACGGTGAAGACCGATTGGTTGCCGATGGTGGAGCGGCAACAAGACCGGCTTGTGAAGGCGATTCGCACTGACCGTGGGGGAGAGTTCCTGAGCAAGGACTTCTCAACTTGGCTGAAGAAGCAGGGCATAAGGCACTCTCTTACCATGCCCTACTCTCCTGCAATGAACGGCATTGCCGAGCGTGCGAATCGGACACTCACGGAGACGGCTCGGGGACTTCTCATTGAAGCCGGTCTACCCAATTACTTTTGGCCAGATGCGGTGCGGCATGCTTGTGTGGCCAAGAACACAGCCTTGACTCACGTGGGAGAAGACAAATGGGTGCCCTATGTGGAGTGGATTGGAAGGAAGCCGAAGGTGGATATGCTTCGGGTGTTCGGGTGCATGTGCATGGCACTTGTGCCTAAGAAACTTCGGCACAACAAGCTTGATGCCAAGGCAACATGGGCCGTGCACTTGGGCATGGCTCAAAACAGCAAGGGATGGCTTCTTTGGGACCCATTTACCAAGAAGTTCCTGGTGAGCAGAGATTGCAAGTTCATGGAGAACTTACCGTACAAGGAGTGGAAGGCGGAGAACCAAGCGAAGATTGGTGTGCGGCTTGGAGAGGTGAAGAGTACCGGCTTGGAGCATGTGGAGCTGCCCTTGGAGCTGAGTAGCAGCAGCACTATCACAAGGCAATCTCCTCAAATGAATGGGGGAGAAGAGGAGGAGGAGGTGCAGCAAGGTGATGAGCGTACACCGTCACTTCCGCCTCGTGCTACAAGTGCTCGCGGGAACCGAGCAGATTTGCAGCAACGCCATGAGAGCATCCAAGTCCCTGCAGTAGAGGAGGAAGGAAGGGGGAGAAGGAAGACTCAGCCCCCCAATAGGTTGAGCTATGAACGGCTTGGAGGAGCAGCCAACTCAACCTTGACCAGTTCGGCTCTCATGCTAGGCGATGAAGCGGAAGATGAAAGCGAGGAGTGCGCTTTTGCCTTCTTCTCTCCGGTGGAGATACCGGGGGAGCCTACAAATCCCAAGGAGGCTTGGGAGGGCCCCAATGGGAAGGAGTGGAAGAAGGCCTCAGATGAAGAGATGGGGAGCATCATCGAGAACGACACGTTTGACTTGGTGAACCTACCTCCGGGGCGTAAGGCGATCTCTTCCAAGTGGCTCTTCAAGCGCAAGACCGACGCCGACGGCAACATTGAGCGCTACAAGAGCAGACTTGTAGCCAAGGGGTACCAGCAGCACGAGAAGAAGGACTACAATGAAGTATATGCTCCTGTGGTGAAGGGTACAACCCTTCGAACCCTCTTCACCGCGGCGGCCATCAAAGGATGGGTGGTGAAGCAAATGGATATCGTAACGGCCTTCCTCAACGGAGTTTTGGAGGAAGAGACCTACATGGAGCAGCCAGAGGGGTACAATGATGGGAGTGGCAGAGTGTGGAAGCTGAAGAAAGCACTCTATGGCCTCAAGCAAGCCCCTAGGCAATGGTACATCAAGCTGCGGGAAGGCTTGGAGGCGATCGGTTTCACTCCCTCAACGGCCGATCAATCATTGTTCATGCTTGGCGAGGGGGAGCAGAGGAGCTTCATGATGGTTTATGTGGATGACATCCTCATATTCTCACCCTCCTCTGACCTTGTGAAGGAGGTGATGCTGAAGCTTCAAGACAAGTTCAAGTGCAAGACCCTTGGTGACGTCAACTACTACCTTGGGCTTCACATTGAGCGAGATGTGGAGAAGCGGTGGATGCGAGTGCATCAAAAGAAGTACTTGGAGGCCTTGGCTGCAAACTTTGGGAAGAGTGAAGGTCATGTGGCTACTCCTCTACCCTCAGGGTTCAAGTGTGTGAAAGGACCAGCGGAGGAAAGTGTTGGTGAAGAGGAGAGGCGCCGTTTTCATTCCTTGGTGGGCAGCCTCATGTATGCGGCCGTTCACACAAGGCCGGATGCAGCCTTTGCTACCGGGCAGCTAGCTAGGGTTGTCCAATGCCCTAATGAAGAGCAGGTAGCAGCTGGAGAGAGGGTGGCCAAGTACCTTGGCCAAACAGCAACTGTTGGACTGCAATACTCCGCGGTGGCACAAAGGCGTCAAAAGGGTGCGGATGGAGTCGAACCCGGGAGGCTCTTTCTCACCGCCTTCTCTGATGCATCTTGGGCATCAGAACCGGAGGACATGACAAGTGTGGGAGGCTTCATCTGCTGTGTTGGTGGAAGACCCAACAGCTTGGGAGAGCAAGAAACAAGTGGACCAAGCATTGAGCTCGGTGGAGTCCGAGTACATGGCACTCTTCCGTGCCATAAGAGAGGTTGTGTGGCAGCGGCGTTTGCTAGCTGAATTGGGGGAGGAGCAGCAAGGACCTACCCCCTCTACTGTGATAGCCAGGGTGCTATTGCATTGGCTAAGAACCCCGTTCTTCATGGCCTTACCAAGCACATGAAGGTGAAGTGGCATTGGGTGAGGAGCATGGTAACCGCGGGTGAAGTGGAGTTGCACTACGTGAAGACGACGGCGCAGCCTGCTGATATGATGACCAAGAGGCTGGTTGAGCAGCAGCATTGGAAGTGTTGCAAGCTTGCTGGGATGGCTCTCAACTAAGGGGAGCAGATTCTAAGGCCAACAATCCGAGGGGGAGTTTGTTGGTGCAACCCTATGGCTTGCACTCGGCTTGTCGTCCGTGTTTGTGTGTGTGCATGCATGGCATGGAATGACTTGTGAGTCTATGTCATTGCTATCTAGTGCTTGTGTGTGTGTTTGAATGGTGTCTCACAATGTGGTGTGTGTCGGTCAAGACATTAGTGAGTTTTTACAACTCGCATGTCAAGTCGTCGTTTGCGTGTCGCATGTGTTTTTCTATTTTGTCAAGTGTGAAGTGTCCATCGCGTCGCAGGTGTGTGCAGCAAGCCCCCATCAACTCAAGAAGAATTTATCTTGAAGAACCAAGACCAAGAGCTCAAGATTTCAAGCCCAAGGGACGCGGATAAATATTAAATAGTGAAAATAGTAACGCTACTTCGTGTAGTGTTACATTTCACTTGGTGTAGCCCCTTGGAGGGTTTGTTTTGAGACTCTTCGTGGTTGGGGACTCTGTGGTGGTGTACCACCAACCTGGACCTCGGCTCTTGGGGTATGTAGAGGCTGGGAACCATCTCCCTCTCGAATTCTTCTTCCTAAGTTTTTTGTACTCCTAAGACTAAAGTGGCTGCAGTACCTCCTGCCAGTCAAACCGCCATAGCGTCGTCAAATCTTCATGGAATTTTATGATTCAACTTGCTGCTCATAGGCGACAACAACGCGCTCCAGATCCAATTTACAGATCACCGTTTGAGGTACACTTCAGATCGGCATCAATATTTGAAGCTGGCTGACGGAACTCTGACTGTGCACATTTTCTCTCATTTTAGGCACATCTGAGCCTATTGTGATTATAACAGCTCCGCGATTCTCGAATTACCCCCTCCGTGCGTGTTTTGAACAGGATGGCAACCTTCGACAACGCCGAGGTTACCCAGCAGCTCTTCGCGCGCATCGCAGCCCTTCAGGAGGAAATGCGAGCGGATCGCGAAGCGTGGCGAAACCAGTTCGAGCGAGTAACTCGACTCGCCGGAGCGCAGCACGAGACGACAACGGCGACGACGCAGCAGTCGCAGCAGTTTCTCGAGGCTCCGAAACCGCGCCCACCTGAGCCGTTCGATCCGAGCGATCGAAACTCCGACGCCCGCAGATGGATCGCCGGAATGGAGATCTACTTCGCAGCCGTCGGATGGAGCTCGCCAGTCTGGGACGGTCAACGCGTACGACTCGCGGCGACACTAATGCGAGGGCCGGCACTCGAGTGGATTGGCGGCAACAGTACTTTCATCCACGGTGAAGCCACGTGGCAGCAGTTCCGCGCCGACCTGCTGAAACGCTTCGAACCGATAAATTCAAGTTTTCTTGCCCGCGAAAAAATTCATCGTCATCGACAGTTCGGGAGTGTATCACAGTACACGCAGCAGATGGAAGAATTTTATAACCGCATTCCCGACCTGACCGAAGGGGAAAAAGTGCAATCGTACCTCGCAGGGCTGAAGACCGAAGTCAAACGACAGGTGGCAGCGTCAAAATACGCGAGCTACAGTGACGTCGTTTCGGCCGCGGAGCGCTTCGACATGGTCAACGCCGGAACACGACGGACGCAAGTCGGCAGTACGCGACAGGGCGACCGCTCGGCTCACCCCACGTTCGCCGACCCGATGGAAGTCGACAGATTCGAGGGGCGGCCACGTCCGAAAAACACCAACTACACGTGTGATTTTTGCGGGGTGCCGGGCCACCGAATCTTCGACTGCAACAAAATGAAGGCCGCACGCGCAGAGTATCGGGCACGCAACAGTGGCGGAAATCTTCCGGCCAATCAGAAGACAAAAAACGGGAGTCGCCAGTGATTGCGGATCTAGCTGGCGAAAATAAAAAGATCCGGAAACGGCCGCGGGATTCCGAGAAAATCAACTTCGACGAAGCTGATTCGACGCGAGAAGGAGGAAATGATGGGGGAAAATCTCCACCCCACGACCAGTCTTCGCCAGGGAAATTCGCCGAGGAAAAATCAGACTCCGCGAAAAAAGACTCTGCCGAGACAGGGAAACTCCTTGAAGACCCAAGAAATTATAAGAATTCGTTAAAGTTATCTTATAAAGATGCTTTAATGAAAACTTATGATGTTCGAGGGGCTAGAGCCTTGGAGAAAATTCGGGAGGGACTCCAAAAAAAGCAGACAGCTGTGGAGATCATACCGGTACCGGACAACTTGGGGACCAAATTAAGGAGTGTGGAAAGAAGCCGACCTTTCCACGGAGTCAACGTCCTCTCCCGACACCAGCCCACAACGACTACCCGCTCCCCAGGGAAGACGTCGGTGGAGCTGAAGCAGCTCAAGAGGAAGCTGGGGGTCTACAAGAAGCTGCAAAAACCCCGAACTCCTTCTACGGATGCATCCAGTTCTTCGGCATCAGTGACGCGCACAGTCGTCAAGGAAACTCCGGGCCCTGGAGAAGAGCCGTTCTCCAAGAAGCCTCGGCCAGCTGCCAGCTCAGGAGTAGACAGCAATACAAAGGTGTGTACGGAATATTGGGATGTACCCTATGACCCAATCAATGAAACTATCTTTGGGTACTCCGAGCAACGACTGCCCCTCGTGCTCGAGGTCATCTGCAAAGGACGACGCCTCCAAGCACTCGTGGACAGCGGAGCGTCACACACCGTCTGCGACAAGGCAATGATCGACCGACTCCGGGAAGAGTACAAGCCTTCAGGATTCTCTGCAACGATGGTGGATGGCAGCAAGTTACCAGTACACGGCGAAGCAGTGCTACATCTACAAATCGGACCACTGCGCTGGAGACCTGCACTCCCCATCACCAACATCAAAGGGCTTGACTTGATCTTCGGGCGAGACTTCCTGAAAAAATTCAACCCCGAGATCAACTGGGTGAACCGCACCGCAAGCATCTACAACAAAGGACGGAGAGTACAGCTACCCAACTGGGACGATACAGGAGATATCCCAGTGGAGACACTCGCACGGTTCGAGAAGGATGTGAAGCGGACCGACACCGGGTTCCTGGCGATAGCAACAGAGGTGGAGAATGACGGAGAGAAAGCCTCGGAAACTCCAGGAAAAATCAAGGAATTGCTGAAGGAGTTCCAAGACATTCTTCCTGACGACCTACCGAACGAGCTACCGCCATACCGCACACATCAACATGAGATCGTGGAGGAACCAGGTTCGAAGCCGACCTTCCGAGCACCATACCGGCTCAGCCCTACGGAGCTGACCGACATGAAGAAGCAGATCGAGTATCTCCTAGCCAAAGGACTCATCCGACCATCTACTTCGCCATACGGTGCCCCAGTACTCTTCACACCGAAACCGGACGGAAGCCTGCGCATGTGCATCGACTACCGAGCTCTTAACAAGCAGACCATCAAGAATAAATATCCGATACCGCGAATCGATGACCTGCTTGACCAGCTTCGGGGAGCTACGGTATTTTCCAAACTGGATCTGCGGTCCGGATACTGGCAGATACGGATGGCGGACAACTCTATCCACAAAACTGCTTTCCGAACTCGGTACGGATCGTATGAGTATTTGGTCATGCCGTTCGGATCACCAACGCGCCGGCAACGTTCCAAGCCGAAATGAACCACATTCTACGACCACTTCTGGACGAATGCGTGGTGGTGTACCTGGACGACATACTCATCTACTCACGCGACATGAAGCAGCACGTCGATCACCTGCGACGCGTCTTCGAAATTCTTCGACGAGAACGATTCTACGTCAAACTATCCAAGAGCGAATTCGCCCTTGAAAAGGTCCAGTTCCTAGGACACCTGGTGAGCGCTCAAGGAGTTCACGTCGACCCCAAGAAAATCGAAGCCGTACGTACGTGGAAGACACCCGAGAACGTGAAGGAGTTGCAGCAGTTCCTAGGCTTCGCTAATTACTACAACAGGTTCGTGCCACAGTATGCGAAAATCGCAGCACCACTCACGAATCTGCTGAAGAAGAACACGCCCTACAAATGGGAAACGAAGCACCAGGAAGCCGTGGAGCAGCTGAAACAAGCACTAACGTCCGCACCGGTGCTCATCTTGCCAGATCCCGAACGCGACTACGTAATCGAAGCTGACGCCAGCGATCAGGCCGTGGGAGCAGTCTTGATGCAAGACCAAGGGAATGGACTGCAACCCATTGCCTACCTCAGCAAGAAACTGCACGGGGCAGAACTCAACTACCCGATACACGACAAAGAGGCTCTTGCTATCGTCATCGCCTTCAAAGCGTGGAGATGCTATCTCGAAGGACGAAGAACGACCGTCTACACCGACCACTGCAGCCTGAAATATTTGAAGACACAACCCAACCTTTCCAGGCGGCAGGTCCGGTGGATCGACTTCCTCGAGACACACTTCCACTACGACATCGTGTACAAGCCCGGCCACAAGAACAAAGCAGACGCGCTCAGCCGGCCTGCACACGTTGCCGCGATTCAGGTCGAAGGGATGAATCCACTACTCAAGGGACTCTTCACCCACGGGTACGCCATCGACCCCGAAATTTCCTTGGCAGAAAAGCGACATCTGCTACAGTGGGACAGTGACATCGCGTACCGGAAAGGATCAACAAAAATCTGGGTACCCAATTACCCTCCTTTGCGCCAGTTACTACTCGAAGAATACCACGACGTCCTGTACGCCGGACACTTCGGTAGCAACAAGACGCTCACCGGTATCGCCAAACACTACTACTGGCCCCATATGGCAGACGACGTCCAGAAATTTGTCACCTCGTGTG